CACCTCTGTCTGCTGTTCTGCTCACCTGTCCTACAGGAGGGTAGGGCATTGGGGAAAGTCAAGTTTCTCTGTTGATTTGAGAGTGGCACCTGCATAAGTTTCCACAAAATCTTTTACTTCATTTGAAAGCTAGTTAGTTGGAATTTTGGAATGTTGGACCTTCCAAGCCCCTGAGGGGTATTAACCCTTCCTTGGATCCTATGTGTTCTAGCTGAGTTGTGCCCTGATTACTAGAAAAATGTAGCTGCCACAGCATTCACTGCATGCTGTTGGTGTCTAATTAACACTATGCGTCTTTTATGTTAATCTTAACTGCTTAATAATAAAAGCTCCTGTGTTCAGCTCCATGATTAATAGGGAAAAGCAAAAAGAGTCTACCTTTTTAATAATAATGGATAATTAAATTATGACACCTCATCTACATATTATAAAACATTTAGAATGAATTCATTCATTCATACACAAGCATTTGAATTATCATCTCAGGATAGAAAGTTATATGCATGCTAATTAAACCTACATAAAAATGTTTCTGTGAAAAAAAGACTGGAAAAGATATATGGCATAATTATATTTGATTTTACCACCTACTTTCCAAATTTCTGTGGTAATGTTATGTTCTTTTCATACAAATTAAAACAAAGAAGAAAAAATTTTAAAAAATTAAAAAAGTTTTGAGAAAAAAAGTCATTGCTGTTCTAGGTACACAGAACTTACATCTTGCATTGTTTTTAAAAATAGATTAACAGATTGGGTTCCGTCTTTGAGAACCGAAGTGAGATCTGCTGTCAACTTGTCACCTGTTCGGCAGATTGGTATGTCTTATCTTAAACTTTACCTAATATCTTTTCATACAATATATTATTTTTTCTTAGACACTTCTAAAATCATTGTATTCTTCTGTTCCTTAAATAATTTTTAGTATAGTAATTAAACCTAATATAACTAAAGGACAGAATGTTCTAGATTGCTGCTGGTTAAAAATATCCTTTTATAGATAAAAATATGTTGTAAAAAAGAAGAATTAACTAGATTTCATGGTTGATAATGTTGTATAACACTATCCATAGTAATTCTGCTTCTTCACATTCTTATATTTGTAAATTTACTGTTTGCATTGTTTACATTCAATTTTTTTCAATTAGTTTCAGGTGTACAAAACAATGCAGTAGTTATACTTTTTACCCCT